TCGAACGACTGGGCCCATGCCATGCCGGGCCTACGGCCGACGTCGTCTCCAATCGCAGCTTAGCCTATTTTTTACGGTATAGGACTGCATCCCTTTGGGCCTGGCGATGGGCGCGAAAGACCTTGAAAGGCCTATCGACAGAGGTCACTCCAAGGTATCCCGGTTTGGAAAACCCTCCAAAAGACTCTCATGCTTGTGCTGTGGGGATGGCGATATAATCCCTTTTCACCAGGATGCGGCTTCTGAAAGGTCGTCTTGGTTTGGGTGACTGCTACACCTACATAAAGGACTGAAGATTTGGCACTAAGAATGCTTTCTTTGAGGCTACACGTCGGGATTGTCGGGAAGTGGGCGACCCCCAAGCCGAGCGCGCCGCGCCAATCCTGCAGATTGCAGCCCCTTCGGGCCATGAGGATGAATGAACTTCCCAAGAGAGGTATCCAGTGACCTGAACTAGGACCGTCACCTGCGATACCTTGGGATAGGCTAGTCGGGTCCTTTAACCTCTGTTGGTCCTTTCACATGTGACACGAGGTTGGACACGAGGTTGCCTGGGCTGATCGCGGCTTAGCGGACGACTTCCCGCTTTTTTGGCCAGGAGATGCTGTGAGGAAAACACGAACAACAAGAAAACACATTCAAGGACTCTACTCTACAGGGACATGAAGAATTCTCCCACAGAATACAAACACCAACCATCACAGGATCATCTTCCCAGCTCCAATCTTTCAGGACCCGAACCCCCTCTCTGCTCCGGCTGCACTCAGACCGACTCGGGACCGAGTCCTGCTTTGCAAGGTGCGTTTCCTCATTCTCTCTGGGCCGTCCCAGAATGTCCCCAGACTAAAGGCCTAGGGATCCACTTTCTCCACCTTCGAAACGGAGGTACGACTGGGCCCGACGTTTTGGCGCCTACATAACTGTGTCGAACACATCACCGTACCTGAGGTTCGGTACGACTGGATCCCTAGGGAAGGTATATCGACCTGGGTGACAGGTGAAGTTGGCGCGAACCTGGGTGCCATGTGAATCCCCCGGCTCCCTGGGGAATCTTCTTTACAACTGGTTCCCTCATCCTCCAGGCTGCCGGCAGCTCCCGAGCCCACGGCCGTTGCAGGTCTTGGACAATCCTTACGACCGGGACGAAAGGCCCCCTGGACGTTTGGGATTGGAGGACCGCGGGTTTCTACGTTTCCCACGCTGGGGGTGCTGCATGAGGACTGGTGAGAGGCAGTTCTACTAGGGTGAAATATCGGACCACTTTCGCCTAAGTCATCTGACCCCAGTATACTATTTCCAGTTTCTCAAGATCCGAGGTCATGCACCTACACCTGATCACTTTTGTGCATTGTTTTGTCATGGTGTGCCCATGAAGCCGGCGACAGGTATACTCCACAGCAACTGCTGAAAGAGACGAGCCGTGTGCCCAGGCCCGGTTTGAGCAGGGATTGCCATGAACGTTTGGTTCCAATGAAACAACTCATAGAATTGGTGCTTCCGAGAGATCTTCCGATTTGCTTCTTCCACGAAAACAGTGCAGCAAAATAGTGAGGCGAGAAACGCAGAAACAGGATGTATCAGGTAAGGAAGGTTGCGACCGGGAACAGCTGGGATAAGGGTTTTAAGATGAAGATGTTTTGTTGTTCAGCTCAATTAGGTAGCCACCAAAGGCTGTAAGATGCTGTAAGAGCTATATATGTTTATGGTGCTTTGGCAGACTCATCCTTCACACAGACCCTGAGCATCCCTGAGCATCACATTTCCGTCAGGAAGTTTACTGAAGAGGACTGGCCTGCCGCAGGGCAGAGCATGCAAGGGAATCTATGTGTTTGTTGTATCAAAAACGAATCAGAGGTGTCATTCAGCTCTTTATAACTACCTACTAAATATCATACAAACACATCAGATCTTCTGAAATACATTGCAGCTTGAAGAACACAGCCTCCTGGTCGTGGTCCACGGTGGGACGACGGGCTGGTCCTCTTTGGGCTCAGAGGATTGCCTTTTTACAATTTTGTTGGTTTGTGAGATAAGTTTTATATAAAACTTAGATGTTTAGACCGTTTTAAAAACTAGAACCCTGGAACCTGAACGACCTGTTCTTTTTTGGATCACCAAATCGGGCGTAAAGACATATGTTTTGTCAGGGCCTTGTCATATCTTGTCATCTTGAGCCCCAACGAAAGCAAGTCAAGAGGTACCAAAGGATCCATTTGGGATCATGCTAAGGTAAGAGGAAAGCAAGGCAAGGTAAGCAAAGCAAGGCAAGAGGACATGATTGTTTTGGACTTAACTACTACCTTGATTCAACGTGCATTCAATCTGCTCAGGAGGAAGTGGCAGAGATACCAAAGGCCGACTGGGACATGCCAATGACAAAAAATCGTTCTTACGTTCGGACCTTCGTTCGTTCTCCGTGTGTCAAACCCTTCTCCTAAGGGTCCAACGTTTTGCAATTTCACACTTTCGTTTTGCGAACAAATTCGAGACTTAACCATTCTAAACAAGCGGGCCAGCGCATGGCATCACGACGGACATCACGGGCTCAGTGATGCCGACGCAGTTAGAGCTGTCTGACTACGTACCTGCAATTTGTTCTGTGGTTAAAAACTAGAAATGCCCTTTGCTACTAGTAGCTTCTTGTTACTATAGTAGTATTGCCCTTGTTGCTAGTAGCGATGCACCTTGTTTCTAGTAGCTTTAGCTACTAACAATACTGTTTTCTGACTTTTCACCTTTCCGTTTGCCCAGGGCCATTTCCAGGTGATTTTGACAGGTCGTTCACCGATTTGTGCTCCTGCGAGCTTTCTTCCAAGTGTGTGTGTGTTTGTTTGTTTGTTTGTTTGTTTTGGACTATATTGCATTATATTGCTTCCTTTGTTTGCTGCAATAGGTTTTTGCTGATTTTGGCATTCGCCCCAGTTTGGGAAGAGCTAGGAGGTGCCCAGGCTTGTTTGTTTGCAACAGGGTGAGGGTGGCCATTTGACAGTCGGATCTTTTCCGCATAGTCGTTGCGCCCAGAGGATGTGTCCCACAGGATATAGCAATAGATTGGACAGTCACAAAACCAATTGACTTTGGCATAACTTGTTCTATCTCAACATGTCTCAACCGTTTCCGACATCAGTGAAACACCTGGTCGTGCCCTTGTTCTAACCCCTATTCCGAATAGAGCCCAAGTGGTGAACTGGAGTTTTCCAGCATAGTTGCTACAGGTGGATGCCAGCATAGTTTGGCAGCTCCTCCCATTACCTTCCCGCCGTTTTTGCAAGGCTGAAGATTGAGGTTTCACTCGTGCTGTCTGTTCTGAAACTTGGAACAGACCGGTTTGAACCAAAGTGTTCAGACGTTCAAATTCTCAGCCAAAACAAGGGCGTCTGACTACCATGGGACACTGTCAGACACAGACCACACTGGAAACATACGTGATTTTGAACCCTGATGAACCTGCCAAGAGTGCTGAGTAGAGTTGAGTAGAGTTTTATATTATATTCCCCCAAAGGACTGCTAGGTGGTATTTGCTGATGGTTTTAGTTTTGTTTGAGGGCTCACTGAATCTGGGCTTTCATATGGTCCCCGGTGCGTAGACGGAGGTGGGGGGTTGTTATGATTTTTAGATCTCGGGGACTTGGGGACGTTGTAAACCTTTAGCCTGACTGGCTTTCTGATGTCTTCTGGAATTGGTGCCATTGAGGCCTCAACCTGACTGGGGAGAGTGTAAAATTGGAGTTCCACTACAATGACAAGTATATACGTACATGTTGCTTCTCTTGAGCAACCCGAACTACGTGGTTTTGAAGAACTGGACGGATATGGACCTCAGGACAGGAACACAGGACAAGAAAGTGAAGTACCAAACACCGAAAAAAAACACGAGTACCAAACACACCTCAGCAACAACGACAGCTGCGAGCCACGACACTGCCGACCTTGTTGTTTTTTTCAGTGTCCAGTATCGAGTTTAACACAAATCTGTGGTGTCTATTTGCATGACGTTTGCTGAACATGTATCAACGCACTTTGAAAGCGCTATAACGCCCGCTTTCCCCAGTGGCTGAAGGAAACTGCAAAACTCGGAATTTGTTCGAGGCCCAGACACCCACCGTTTGCTGCAGGAGTTCGATGGATCAGCCATTTCATGTTCAAGATCGTTTTTAATCTATAACATAGTATAAATATGTTGAGTGTTCTTGTGATTTCTTCTTTTTGCGTTCCTTGAAACTGCCCTGGGGGCGGTGTTTGGATTGCCCCATTAGTTGTGTTTGGGCTGTATAAACACCACTCTCTGTAAGGAGTGGTTCCGTCCGAGGATCTTTCCGTCCGGCGTTCTCAGCGATTCCGCACCGCCGCAGTGAACAGTGCAGTGGTGGTGGTGAATCAATTCGAATCCACTTCTGGCAATCAAGACGAAGTTACGGATAAGTAATGCAGGACAATCAGAAGACTTTAGGCAATTTTAGGCTCATCCTGTTGCCGTGCTTGTTCTATTGTTCGAGTGACCCTGCGATGCTGCAGCTGTTTATTTTCAGAGTCAATGCAAGTGTGACTGACATACAAAGGCAAAATCATCTTTGGGACGTTGAATAAGACATAATAAAACACCTCCCATCTCATCCCACTTCAGACAAGTTTACAAAACAGTATGCAAAAGTTGTCCAGACCTTCTTGGCCTTTTTTTCTTTGCAAGTCGAGTATGTGTTGACATGAGTTCCTTTACTACATGTCCTTTTTTCATGCGACACGATCCACCAGGCTAAACACAAAGTCACGTCACGTGGAAAAAGGGCATTCCATTTGCCGCGAGGACATACTGTAGTGGTGAAGTAGGAGGTGATAGAAGTATACACTACAGTTCAACCACCTCAGGTCTGAACCGTCAAACATCCCTACTCAATTAAGACAAGACAGACATACAACATCATACAACATACGCATGTCCGATAATCCGGTTTGCTGGAGTCACAACTTACTCAATGTTGCAGAAATAAGGCGATCTCCAAGCACTGGCTACTTAGGCCCCCGATCGTGCGACACCTCGCGCATTGAAATCCGTGTGGCCGACTGGGGCAACACTCATGCCCAGGCACCTGCAGGGTTGACCAAGAACTGATGAACGAGCGTTTGCTATCGTTTGTTTGTTTGGCCAACAAAATTCGTCAGTACACGCTTGTGATCACCGCTGCGGACCGAGGGGGTTGCTTCCTAAGTCCACGATGGTTCTAGGCTCGTCATGAGCTGTCCTGCCAGATAGAAGAGGATGTGAAGCTTCAGCTTCATTCACTTGGCTTTTGTAATCTTTTGATATCTTTTGTATATATGTATTATACCCAGAGCTTCAGTGACTTCTGTTTTGGACTACCAACCACCCAAATAATGCTGTTATTTTTCCTATCAAATCAGAGGTAACATGGGCTCTCTCTCTCTATATATATGATATGTACACATGTTACAAAGATGGAAGCAAGTTGTTTGTTTCCGCGAAAGCCAAATGGTCAAACCACCGAATCACAAAGTCAGAACTTCCACTGCGGGTTCGGCTGGCTCCCCGCAGCGCAAGGTGTCAAACTGGTCTCCAGTTGATGTGCATATGCGGTCTCGTTGGGTCAGTCATATGTTTATATATACATGCATACACAGAATATCACAGAATCAGTTATTACAACTAAGCTTTCTGTCTACAAAAACATCCATGTCATATATAATATGTAGGGAAAACCAACGCAGATGAACACAACAAGGCCAATGGACCTCCCTGTGAGGCCCAATGAGCGAAAGTACTGCGGGAGCGGACACTCAGGAAGGGGAGCTGGGCCGGAACCGGCAGAGGCTTCGGAACCGAGTGAGGTGCGCTTCGAACGGTGGGCAGAGTAGGTGAGCAACGGGTATCCAAGGAATCCCTAGTTTTTTTCAGAGACGATCCACAATGGATTTGTGTGATGTCGTTACGCCACCGAAATGGGTGATGTTCATGGGTAAAGGTATGCCTGGACCTTCTAACTACCAACAATTTCTGGTGTTTTTTTATTTTTGTGCGCATTTTTGCGCTAATTTGCAGTCGTTTTGTCGGTTGTGCTGATTTGCGGCCGTCTGCGCGGAAAACCGGGTCAATAGCCAAAACTACCAGAACTTTTGGTCGTTGGAAGATCCAGGTAGTGTGTTTTTCCTGGGAATGTTCCCAACTTTCCGGTGGGATGTTGTCATGTTGCCTCTACCAACAATCTTCGTGTTGGAATTCTCTGACCTGTTGCGACCCACTCTCCCGAACGACATCATGAAGTCAACGATCCGAGCTCGGCATCTGTTTGGACTCACAATCCTCCCAAGACCACCATGACTTGGACTAGCGGGAAACTAGCCGCGGCACACGGCGGTGCTGGACCCTCGAGAGGTAGAACACGGCAGTACCACGAGACGTGAAGACCAAGGTTCGGCTGGCTGCGGGGGATTCGGACCACCTATGACAAGGCGGAACCGCGTGCTGGGCTGTGCTGCGAAAGACGACAGGCTGCTGCACTCCATGTAGGCTACAAGGGGTGAATGTAGGCATGCATATATGTATTATATTCTGGAGTGTTGGGGTTGTACCATTGAAATCCATTGTACTCAGTTTCCGAGGTACAAACTGAGACTCCAGGTCCTATAAGGGGTGACCTGGGGCGCTACTTTCCGGGGCCGCGACCTGGGCTTTGGCAGACAGACTGATGCTTATTCGCAGGGAATTGAGCAAATCAACCCCTGTAGATCCCCGTGACATCTTAAGATCCATTCTCAAAAACTATCCGCTAGTAGTAAGGCCAGGAGCGCCCCGTTCGTAGCGTCCTTGCTCCGTTCGTAGGGATGCCGCTCCGAACTCGTAGCGTCCTTGCTACGTTCCTTTCCAAATCTGGGATCTCATCCCCCTGACAAGTGGAGATCTCATCCCCCCTCACTCTCCCTGATGGTCAGGGTGATGATCCATCCAAAAAATCTGGGATCCTCATCCCCCTGATCGCCGAATCCGCCGCATCGCTCCCTCGTCACGCTGTGAAAAAGTCACACAGGTGCCTTCCACCAGTGAGACCGCCGTGCAGACCGAGAGGCACCGGTGCCACCGTGACCTGCGGCCGGTTGGCATGGTTGGAACATGGTTGGCATGGTTGGAACCTGTTTGATATTCTTATATTGATTTACACATGATATGTCTTCCCAGCACAGTGGGATGTGGAGGATGTTTTTCTTGACATGTCGGTGTCGAACCAAGGACACCGGCAGCATGTAAAATACATGTTCTTGACTTAGCAACCGATTCACTCGAGGTCTGGTCTCCGAAAGATGACCAGCGGGAAGGCTTTGATGATGTTTGAGGTGGCGAGAGTCCTCTAACCCCAACGATGGCCCATATGCATACAGTTCTATGTTCGGTTTTCCTCGATGTTCTATGCCTTCGTTCTTCACACCATCCGCCGCGCTTGTTCTTGCAGGTCAGCCATGCGCATCCTCCAGAAGCCGCGGCCCAAGGTGATGCCCGAGGCCCTTGGCCGCCCTTGGCTGACCGACCGCGGCGTGGCACCCCGAAGCTTCCTACGTAAGCCTTTCGATCCCTGGAGGATCCGTCGAGGTAGGAGATTTGGGGTGGTGTAGTGCTTGGAGCTTTCAGATTCAATCCCGTCCAGTGACGGACCAAGGAATCCAATCCAGCTCCATGGAGATTTAGGAAGACCTACAGCCATGGTGTTAGTTGACTACAGATGAACCGGAGTTCTTTTTTGTGTTGGATTTGCTTTACAGTTTCATGTCCACTGCACTCCATATGTTTCTACGACTCAGTTGTCCTGAATTCGACACTCCTATTCTTTGGCAGGACGCAGGACGCAGGATGGCGCGAGGCTCTCTCAGCGTCCGGGGCGCGAACGACGCTGCCAGGAGATGATGGCGCAGCATTATAGCGACCCGGTGCCTTGGCTACCAGTGCAGTGTGGCGGTCATGGAGCTGGGACTGGGTAGACGGTCATTTCCCCCTCCAAAGTAGACAGAGCCGGGAAAAAAGACAGGTCGCAGCCAAGATGAGGGTCCTGTGCACGTGAGAGACCAGAGAATACCAGAGACCTGTGATGAGGTCTGGTGATTTATGTTTGAGGTGGCTTGCCTCTTGATTCAAGACTTAGAATGAATTCTTGCTTTTGTGACATATTTTTGTTAAGACATGTTAATAAGACCAGAGGTGGATGCAGAGACCAGTATGGTCTAGAGCATATGCTGCATATGTTTTCATATTTGGCCACTTGTGAGCAGATCCTTTCGGTGGGGTCCTAGTGGATGTGACAACAAGTTGATATATAAGGTAGCATGATCAGAAAAGCCCAATTCCACCACAGCTCTTGTCAAATTGACTTGTTTGTTTATATATAAGTAAGACGTGTATGACTTCCTATGGTTCTGCACAGGAGCCACCAGGATTTTGATCGAAGATATCGTTCCTAAGAGGATCGTTCCCAGTATTTTATGCAACGGAAGAGCTGCAACTGAAAGCAGCTGAAAGCAGTATCTCCACCCCAAAAGATCAACCTTTTGAAAGCAACTTGAAGGATGCATGGCGGCCATCCATTGGTTGATACACTTGATACATGACGCTGTTTTAAGGAAGCATCCCATCGCTTGAAGTGAGAGGTGAACACTCCAACGTACTCCAAGCTTAAAAATCATCCCACATCATTCATCCTGCAGGCCATCGAACCACAAGCATGTTTTGTTCCTGCCAAGGCCAGGGTGGCATGAGGTCATGAGGTGTCCCAGTACCCAAACCAGATCAACCCCTCTCTCCTCAGGACTACCGGGCCAGGGTGGCTGCAGCCAAGTTGATGAACATCCTGTGGGCCAAGGCGCGAGCCGCTCGCCCGCTTCACGCTGAAGTCGAGGGGTTCGGGCCGGGCCAGGTTCCGGTGTGGAAAAGCACCGGTTCTGATGCCACTGGTCACATTCTGGACGATTGCGCCGACCGGTGGTTCGATCGGAAATGACATGACGAATGACTAATGGGACTGGCATATGAATCCATATAGGGTGGTTGACCATGTTGACCTGGGGTCAATGTAGCTAAATATGCCAGTCCCATTAGTCGTGTCTGGGATTGGGAGTTTACCAGTGTTAATGGACATGCGACGTGGAAGCCCAAGAGGACCTCCACACCAGTTTTTTTTGAGTCCCAACAAAGAGTTCCGCAAAACATGTGAGTTGGACAGGTTGGGATGATGACATACCACTACCAATTGCTTGAAATGCGCCGGAGTGGTTCAGCTCGTTCCGATCATCAACGTCGGAGAAGTCGGAGTCGAAACTCGTGGATATAGTCGGAGGGGGCGGCTCCACGTCGCAGTTCACGTCGCAGCTTCACGTGTTGCTTTCCTCCAATCCATCACCCACCAGGACCTTCAAAGTGACCTCTTTGGAGTCTGTAAGTGACCTCTTCAGGGACTAAGTGACCTCATTCACAGTTTTTTTTTCCCGCAGCTCTTCGCTTCTCCAGGAGCCTTCACAAGTCCATTTGGATCAATCGCTTTATGGTGCAGCCTTTGTGTTGCCCGCACCTCAGTGTGTCAAACACTGTGGCCCAGGGCCACCACGCGGCCCTTTTCGGGGTGATCTGAGAGGTCGCCGAGGCTGGTCGCATGGAAGTGGATTGGCATGATCCCTGGGGAAGATCAGGGAAGGAGACTACTTTCCTGTTTTTTTGGGAAGACAGCGCTAAGAGTTCTCAGCGTTTGCGCAACACATTGCCAAGTAGACACTTTTTGGAACCAATTGGTATAGTGTGACGCGGTGTGTAGATCTTTCCCGCTGCTCCAAGGCCGCAGATTGCTCGCTCTGCCGGTTGGCCAAAGGAGCTGACGGCCGGGTACCCCGCGGGCTCCACATGTGGACACCCGGACGGTGGAGCCTGCGACAGTTGCTTCCAAACGATGCCCCCCATGGCGCCAGCTGTTTTCGAAGGTCGTGGATGATCATGGATGATCATGGATGGATGGTCATTCGTATTTTTGGTTTGGTGGGGGTTGGAAGGAGAACCACAGAAACGACAAGAATGTACAAGAACTATAGAGATGTGAGACCTGGATCGGCAGAGACCTGGATCTTATGATGATTGGAGTGAAAAGCCGTTGGTCTGTTGTTGGTCCGAGTGGATTGAGCCAATTGGGAAGCAAAGTGAGTGCGTCTTCCACCAGACAGAAGAGACGATACTTTCCGTATCTCCACCTTTTAGTTTGTCAGAAGTATAGCGTGGAAGAGTCCGGAAGAGCTCGCGGCTCTTGCCGGAGAATCCAGAAACACGACTTGGTCCTGTTCCCCATGGAGCTCGGAGCTCGGTCCCGTCCTCCACCGGCGACGGTCGATTTCGACCGGAGCAAAGCGACCGGAGCAAAGTCGACTGGTCCGAAGATCGGAGAGATGGAAACCCATGGAGTAGATAGCATCCATATTGAAAAATCATGGCACATGCATCTTTGAAAGGGATGCTCAAAGAAGAGATGCTCCAAATTGAAAGTTGCATCTTTGAGAGACTGACCGCTTATTGCTGAGTATTGCTGCTTGGACAGGGGGTACTTTGCGGCATGAATCCATAATGTCCATGCAAACTCTATCCACTGTTGCCCACGAAACTTCCCTACTTTTGTCGCGACAGTTGATGTGTCACGGTTCTTCTCAACTTATATAGCAATTCATGAGTCAAGTGGCTCTTTTTGTTGAATGAACTTCAACCTGAAAAGTGTCAAATTGCTGGTTTCAAGGCGATCCGTCAGATCAATCCGACCAGAGTACCCCAAGCCCCTTCTCAAACCGACCAGATCAATCTTCCGTTAGCCGACTGAGGTGTTGGTGCTGAAGACCTTCTTGGTCTTGTCGACTCTTCAGCCAAGACCAAGAATGAGTGAAAAACACCTACCCATGGCGGGTCAAAACCGGGGTTCATGTGGTTCAACACCACCGATCTTGAGCGGAATAGACTACCTGGGAGGTCAAACTACAAAGGGTTTGGAGCGTTTTGATTTCACAGCTACATGACGGACGTCGCGCTGTTTTTTGTCGATGTTTGTTGATCGCAAAGTGCCCCTTGTTATTGGTATATGCAGCGGAGTTTGACGGGTGTTTCTGTGTTTTCTCGTGGCATGGTGACGCAACAAACACTAAAGGACTATGAGTATATATAGGTGATGCTAGGCTGAAACAGATGGCTTGCTTCGGTGCCTGGTTTCTGACATCTCCATGTTTGCGATCGTGTCTTTTTAAACGAGTGAAGGTACCACCGAAGCACCGAGGCATCACCCGAAGCACCGAAGGTCCAAGTTTGTTTTGTTTTTGGTTTAATCCGTGTTGATTTGTGATGTGAATGAACGTGTGATGGGTCAAAGCCACTGCTATGCTAGAGATGAAAGCACGGTAGATGCTGAACCCCAGTCCAGTCATGCGCAAATCTGCATGATGCCCCCCGTGCACAACCTGCAGCAGTGCACCAATTTCTGACGCCATTCCGGGGGGTTTGGGGTCGGATTGGGAGACGGGAACATCCGGGAACGACTCCCAGACACGATCAAACAGCTAAATGAATACAAAACAAGTCACAGCTGGTGAATGGACTAGATTATAGTCCCTACATTCGTCCAGTCTGACCCAGGTCCCAACCTGGTCCTTGACCTTCACGAATAGTTTTGTTGACCAACGTCAAAATGAGGTCATTGATGGTCATTGACTTGTAGGGAGTATATTCACAATTGAGTTTTTATATATACTAAACCTGGTCTTTTACATGACCGACTCCTGTAAAGAATGAGGTGAAACAGGATTGTATAGGGAGATATACGTAATATACATCAATGCTGCCGCAGGCCCATCTTTGCAAAAAAAAACCTTCGATTAAAGGACGAACCTCAAATTCCCAACCAACCTATGGCCCATCTTTGATACAGAAACCCAGCAGTCTTCGCAACTTGTTTGCCAGAAACCCTAGCTCCCTCTTCTTTCGCTTCGCCGATGGCCGGTGAGGTTCGTGAACTACTTCGTGCAGTTCGCCGTGCTGTACTTTATCGCCACGGACCGCTGGGCTCCGGCGCTCTTCTCGTCGGTAGAGAGAGAGAGAGAGAGAGCGGTCGTCCGGGGTGTATTCGTCCGGGCCGGCTTCAGAGTGGTGGGCCGTGCGAAGCGCAAGTAATTGAACAGACATTTGATGTATCGTTGTTCAAGTATTGATTAGTGGTATATAGATAGCTGGATGGGAAAACTGAAAACGCATGAACACACGAAGATACAAAAAGTGTGCTGTTCTTTGCTTTTGTGGCCTTGAATGTTGGGCTGTATGAATTGACCAACATGTAACAGTGAGCTGTCCGAGGGCCAGCCTGGGAGCTGTCCTGAGACAAACCCTTTGGCAAGAGTCTCCGTGAGAATCATGTGCAATTGATTGCAATTGTTTAGCATGAACTTGCCCCCCAAACAAGACAATATACAAGACATCAAGTACCATATGCATCCATTATACACCTGGGAAAGAGTTTGTTTGGTCGGAAGTGAGCAAACGACGCCAGGAAGATATGGTTTGGGATCTCTTCTCTGGTCAGATGTACCTCTGTCCGGGGCCTTGGGTACGAGGTGCCGCAGCCGTGCACAGCCCGCAGAGCCCGCCCTTCTTCCGCCCTCGACCGCCTGAGGCAACTTTGGGAAGGATGCACCCTGTGTGCCCGGCCGGTTTGGAATTAGTGCTAGAATGGAGGCTGATGTCTTTTTCTGAGGCATTCTGAGGCCATGATTGCTTGGGCAATTGTCGTGAATTCTTTTTGGGGAGCAGTATATAAATCCAGCCGGTGGAGAACGGGTTGGTGTGCACCATCCAAGTTTGTTGCCATTTGCATCCATTTGGTTTGAAACATGCAAGGGACAGAAGTGTTGGGAACCCTTCTGACTTGTTGATTGCCACACTCTATTGTGCATTACAGTATACAAAAAGGTCACAGGTCGACTGGGGGTTGCGCCAGGAAGCCTGTTGGCTTGTTTCGAGATTCGCTCCATTGGACCTGGACAGTCCACTAGACCTGGACAGTCGGGATCTCTCAGTCAACCCCGAATCGGGATCGGGGACTTCGTTTCCGACGCCCGACGCCCGGCTGACAGAACCGGGTGTACACATGGTCGTACAGAGCCGGGAAAGGGTACGACGGATCTCTCAGTTCACCACTTTTAAATGAACCACACGTCCAAACGCACTGAAAAACCACTGGTCCAGCTTTCAAAGTCCGATCTCTCAGTCAACCACTGAAGGGATCAGCTTTCCGCCAGTCATCCGCCTCCCCCGACGCCAGCTTGCCCGGACGGCCCCAATTGCATTGGCCCGGGGGGCACGGTCTTCACCGACTCCAGGCGCCGGGGAGGAAGGGGCGATGAAAATGGACAGCCCAGGTGCAGGGGGCTCTGGTATATATGTTGTTTTCCAAATTAGCTGTTGTTGTTGTTGTTGTTGTTTTTGTTGCTGTTGTTGTTGTTGCTGTTGCTGTTTTTGTTGTTGTTGCTGTTGTTGTTGTTGCTGCTGGTGTTGGTGTTGGTGTTGGTGTTGGTGTTGGTGTTGGTGTTGGTG